TTGTCTTAATACTAAGAAAGAATGTCAGTATTTACCTACTTAAGCTATGTACATTTAAAAACTAATCTTTGATTTTTGCCTACCTTCAAAACTTATAAAAATTATGGCAAATATTCAACTCTGATTATCAGATATTCAATTCACCTTTCTAGTGTAAATTGCCAACCACACTACCCAAAATCCTTCTATAAAACTTTCTAAAGTTCGCAAATGGACACTTCAACTTGCCATAATAGCCACATGTGGCTATTTACAAGTGGCTGCTGAATACTTAAAATGTAGTTAGTCTGAACTCAGACATGCTGTACATATATAATGCACAAAGGATTCCAAAGACTTAAGGAAAAAGTTACATATCTTAATTTTTGTATTTATCACATACAGAAATATGAATATTTTTGATAGTTTGGGTCGAATACAATAAAATTAATTTCAAATATTCTTTTTACTTTTTTAACTTGACTACTACAAAATTAAAATTACTTAAATGGCTCACATTATATTTCTGTTGCACAACAATAAAGCCCACTCTGCAACAAGACAACTGCGTATACCACTGTGGCAGGGATCACTTTTTATTCTACAACAATTTCCAATAATTTTTAATGATAATACTGACATGTTGGCTGGTAAGTACAGATCACTGATAATAAATCAGCCAAAAAAAAAAAAAAACAACTATCCATGTGATACAATTTAATCCAAAAACACTTACTATGCACATGGTTGCTATGAGTCAATCAACTCAATGGCACACAACATGAAAAAATAGTAATAGAAAAAATCACCACACAAAGAAATGAGAAGTTGGTTGCAATATTCTCTACAGTCAGGGAGAAGATATATATGGAAATATCAAAACAGCCTTTTGGAGATCGCGTTTGAGAAGATATTACTAAATAGCTTTGGTGTCATGTGAGAAATATATGTATATATTTATACATACACAGATTGCAGACACATTAAGTTTGAAGCAATAAACAACTGAGTAGAAATTTTCGTTAGCAATTAGAAAAGCAGAAAAGATTAAGTGAAAGGCTAAAGCTAAAGTTAACAAACTAAGAGCAGACAGGAGTTAAACCTGGGTCTATATAGCTCAAAGGTCATGCTCTTAACTAGTGATCAATACTGCTTTCTACTAGAAAGGCAGAGAAGGTAAAGGATACCTGAGTAGGCATGAAACCAGAAAGGAACAGTACCAGTAGAGGCACAGAATGAAGAAACTAAATGAAGTAGGGGGAGCAAGGCTCTTGGAGCAGGAGAAAGGAGTGGGAGAAACAGAAGAATAAGCTTTGGAGAAGGTGACCTCCTAAGTGACACCTTTGAAAAGAAGAGCTGAGAAAAGAAAAAGAAATAAAGAGAAAGAAAAAAACTACTGAACTTAAATGGGAAGGGATCTTACCATAGGCTCTTAAAGTTGGCCAAATTGGAATGTGATACAACCACTGTGGAAAACAGTATGGCGATTCCTTAAAAAGCTGGAATTAGAAATACCATTTGACCCAGCAATCCCATTACTAGGGATATATATCCTAAAAAAGTGACGGCCAGGACAAGAACATATATGCACACCCATGTTCATCACAGCACTATTTACAATAGCAAAAAATGGAAACAACCTATGTGCACATCAACACGTAGGCTGATGTTTAAGAAAATCTAAAAAGTACATAAGAATAAAAGCACTGGTGAAGAACAAAAAAAGTCACACTGTTTTTGGACAGCACCAATTTACAAAGGACCAATTCAGCACAGCTTCATAACTTGCATCAGCATTACAATACTTATCATCTATGTTCCTATTACTGGTAGGACAAAATGCTGGGTGATTTGCCTATCAAATAGAGCCTCTGGAAGGAAAAGATAATCATGGCTGTAGACCAGAACTGCTAGTCTGTATAGCTGGTAGGTAGGTAAGAAAGAAAAGTGAAGGGCCTAACAAAACTTAAGGGGGTAGAAAAGTAGCAAGATTTAGTGTCAAAATATATAAATACAAGCAAGGAAATCAGGTTGGAGTTAAAAGCTTAAATGAAGCAGGAGGAGTCAAAGCTGAGTGATGAAAGTAAATACATTCAGGGACAGGAGATCTGTGCGTGTGTGTATGTGTGTGTGTGTTAGGAGACACAGTATTCCCATACTTAAGCCCTGCAAAGACTTTTCATTGCAGACGTAATAAAATCCAAACTCCTTACCCTTGCTTACAAGGCCTACAAGATCTACCCTTTGTTCACTCTGAAGTTATCTCTACCACCCAACCACCATGCTCTAGGCACAATAGCTAGCTATCTTTATCATAATCATGCTAAGCTTATACATCAAGGCCTGTGTTGCAGCTATTCTTCTACTTGGAATGTTCTTCCTCTGAACTTTTATCGCTGGCTCTTTGCTACTAATCCTTCCCTAACAGGCAGAATACTATTCAAGAAGACTATCTGGTTATATCCCCTCCCTAAGTATTGAGTGTAAAAATTTCAGACAATGTTAGTGTGTCCTTGCATCATCACAAAAATAATTTTGGAGCCACAGTCAGCAATCAACCTGTGAGAGAGCATACCTCATACAGGGTCATACAGTTACTAGGAGGTGGAATAGATTTGAGGGCAATGGGTTTTTGTTTGTTTGTTTTTTTTTTGGTTTAAAACACACATAAAATTGTTTTCTGATGAAAATCCTTGTCTTGCTCACACATACTCTCCTTCATGGTTTTTTTTTTTCCAATGAGGCTCCAATTGTTTATGAGATTTGTAGCTTTCATTAAAAGAAGTCAATCTTACTCCTAACTGAGCTATCAAAGCATATCGTTCTTCATTTCACCAGCAGCATTTTAATGTACACCTCCTATATACATATTATTCTCACAACTTGAGCCTTAGGTAAGAGGTAAAATCATTACCTATTTATAAAGCAATTAATATGTACAAGGCATAGTGCTATGTGATTTTTACTAGTTATTATCATCTAATCCTTATAACAATACTGTGACTTAAGATATCCTCATTTTAAAAATGTAAGTACTTTGTATCAAGACACAGACCTAATCAGTATAACTAAAAATATTTATGAAATGTTTTATGCAGACTATTTAGTCTATTTTATCTACAGTATACTCTAGATTATATCCTTGGTTTAAGACCAAACCAAACCAAGCTCACTGCTATCAAGTTGACTCTGACTCATAGTGACGACCACTGGGTATCCAAGGCTGGTGGTTCAAAGTCACCAGCCACTCTGTGGAAGAAAGAGGAGGCAGTCTACTTCCATAAAAATTTATAGCCTTGGAAACCCACTGGGAGTCACTATGAGTCAGAAAAGACTCAATGGCAGTGAGTTTGTTTTTTTTTTTTTTTCCATGGACAAATTTCTTTACTTATTTTAAACTTCATTCCCCTGTTCTTAATGTATTTTTGTAAGTTTCCATCAGTCTATCTGGCAACAGCGTTGTATCAGTAATTTTCTTAGATCTTTTAGCTTTATGCTGCCAGCATGAAGCTTCTACTACGTATGATAAAGAATGGCCAATCATCTCACATCAATTCTTACACTTCATTAGTTTATAAAATGATTTATGACCTCTACCATTAACTCAGGGTATACACTACTGGGGTATATTCCTCAGGAGAAAGCAGTGGCATTAAGTTATAAAATCTTAACATTAGATACTTATTCATATAAAAGTTTGTGCATTATTTATTGAGATGTGAAGGATGGCTGAATAGAAAGGTTGAATAAAATGTAGATTCCTATACAACAACGGTTTTACTGGGTTGGTATAGTATATTACAGTACCCAAAATAAAATTAACTCTGATTACTGGCAGCATCTTCTTAGTTTAACACATTTATATTCACTACATTAAATCTTCTAATAAAGTAAAAATTGTTGTGCATATATATTTTTCCACCCTGATTTAATAATGTGAAAGGTAAGTATTTTTTATACTTTAAATACCTCATTCTATTCATAGCCTAAATATAACTTGGAATTTCATTTGCCTTACAAATGTATAGTGATTAAGGGAAAAATCATTCCAATATGGACACAAAATAATTTTAACTGAAGATAAAATTACACTACGAACAAAACATTATAAGAATAATGAAAATATACTCTAACTGTATTTGAGATTACTTTATGCTTGAGTTAGCTATATTTATGACTCACTGAGCTGGGGAAGGTAGAAAAAAGTACATCAACATTGTTAATAAACAGATAAAATATAACAACTAGGTAACTAAAAAGTGACATTAAAGAAACAATGACTGAATAAAACATAATGGAGATTTCACAATGAGATTGGTAGTTCAATTTACTAGCAGAAAGAGATCCCAAAATATACATGCTTACTGGAAACTTCTACAGTAAGAAAAAGGGAAGCTCTCTAACAATTAAAACAGAAAGAGTTAATTTTCTATGTAACATAAATGTCAAACATTTTAACATTTTCATTGAGTTATAAATAATGTTTGGGAAAGAAAGAAAAAAGTACAACCAAGGACTACAGATAATCCAGAGATGAATCAAGATGAATTAGCAGAGCTTTTTATTATGAATATCAGGGTTATAAAACTTCCAAGGTTCTCAGAAATGTTTGGAGATCCTATTAATGTGTATAATGAAATCACCTGAGTCATCTTCTAATTAAGTCACTGAGTGATTCCTTTTTCTTTTACTGTAAAATACATTTAATAGTGTTTTGTTTCTTTTACGACCTAATTTATGGTACTGATCAGTATTTCAATATATCTTCAGGTTTAAAAATTTCTCAAAGAATGAAAAACACATAAACTGTTTTTGAAATTTTAAAGAAAGCTTTCAGATTTAACTTCACTGAAGGTGATGCAAACAGATTCCTTCAAAGACTTTTGGCGAAAATCATTCATATTATTAGTAATATGTAACTTCACCTTTTGATGCATGTAGAATAACATGAATTTATACCATTTGCTAGTCTAAATAAATACAGTGATGAATGTTTTATAATACACATCTAGTAAACTTACATCTTTCAGGAGCTTGGTCAATGTGTTCTGGACAAAGAAGGAAGAAGTGACTGAAGTCCTGAAAGGTGCCAGCTCCAGCAGCACATGGGTAATGGTACATCTGGGTACATTTCTCTTCACAGCATTTGATAGTGGCTCCAAGGTGCTTACAAAATGCACATCGCTGGAAGGGAGGAAAGGGGAAAGAAACGTCTTTATAAAACCTTGAAAAGGAACTAGAAAGTTAGAAAGGTATAAAGAAAGCCTATGTATATTACTAGTAAAATCATTGAACCCACAAAATAATAAATAAAGGATAAGTTAAAAATAACAAGTTCATTATCAGTAAGACAAACATTAATCTACAGGTGGATACATAGACGTTGTTGTTGTTGTTGTTATGTGCCATCAAGTCGGACCCAACTCATAGCGAGCCCTCCTTGGGTTTCTGAGGCAGTATCACTACGGAAGTAGATTGCCCCATCTTCCTTCCGAGGAGTGGCTGCTGGGTTTGAACCATCAGCCTTCTGGTTAGCAGTCAAGTGCCTTAGGCACTATGCTACCAGAGCATATTCCCTTTTGCCCAGATATACCTGATCATTTAGGATACATAGATAGACAGGCTAAATGATCAGGTATATCTGGGCAAAAGGGAGGATGTTGTTGTTATTGTTATGTGCCGTCGAGTCAGACCCGACTCATCATAGTGACCCCTCCTTGGGTTTCCGTGGTGGTATCACTACGGAAATAGATTGCCCAACCTTCCTTCTGAGAAGTCGCTGGTGGGTTTGAACTGCCAGCCTTCTGGTTAGCAGTCAAATGCCTTAGGCACTATGCTACCAGAGGTCCTAAAAGGGAATATACTCATGACCATATTAACTTTGGCAGATGATATTTCTATCTACTTTTTTTTTTTTCTGTGCCATAAGAATGTCCAAATATATAATACAGCTAATGGGAGTTCTAGTGGCATAGTTCGTAAGACATTTGACTGCTAATCAATAGTGGGTTTGACCCACCAGCCACCCATTGGAAGGAAGATAGGGCAATCTATTTCTGTAGAGATACCACCTCGGAAACCCAAGGAGAGGTTGCTATGAGTCAGAAATGACTCCATGGCAGTGAGTCTTTTTTTTTTTTTTTGGTTTAATGGGTAAAGTGGTAACTTCTTAGCTACAGCCAAACATCCTAAAGGAATGAATCACTGTGCCCACATGCTCGGGACCATGACCACAGGGGACATCAAGCTCAACTGGCATAACATACCACACAAAAACATCGTTCTACATCCTACTGTGGTGAGCAGTGACTGTGGTCTTAAAAGCTTTCAAGTGATACTTCATTGCAGCCCTATTTATAATAGCCAAAATATGGGAAAAAAAACTAGGTGTCCATCAACTAAAGAATGGATAATCAAACTATTGTACATACACACAATGGAACACTATGCAACCCTAAAGAATAACGTAGAATCGGCAAAACACCACATAACATGGATGAACTTGGAGGACATTATGCTGAGGGAAATAAGCCAATCACAGAAGGACAAATATTTTTTAGTCCATTATTGTAAAAAGTCAAGGAAAGGTTTATATATGGCAGGAAATTTTGTTTGTTGGTTACCAGGGGTTGGAGGGTAGGGTAGGGAACACTGTTAGGTAGGTAGAGACAAATATTGATTTAGGTGAAAAGAAGGGCAATGTACCAAATGTGAGTGATCAACATGGTGGCATGGAGGAAGAGGAAGACAGAGAGAGGTACATGGGAGGTACAGACAACAAAGATGAACCCTTTTGCACATACAGTACTGAATTGTCAATGAAGACAAACATGGATATGCAGGTGGGTAGATGGGTGGACACGCTGACCTATTAGGTATGTCTATGCAGGGGGGAATGTGCCCAAAACCATGTATAGGGTTGGCAGACAATGTTTCTACAAGTGTACTGATATGTTCTCTAAGAATTCCCAAGTATGCAGTACAGCTGAGAAGGGACAAGGTGGTAGTCACTTCTTGGCCACAGAGGGAGCGAGCAGTTGGACCTGTGGGCTCGGAACCATAGTCGCAGGGACATCAAGCTAAATTGGCAGGACATACTACCAAAACATTGTTTCACCTCCTACTTTGGTGAGTACTGACTGGGATCTTAAAAAACTTGCACGCAGCCATAAAGATGCAACGATGGGTCTCTCCTCATCCAGAGCAGAGAAGAATGAAGAAAACCAAAGACTCATGGAAACAATTAATCCAAGTTACTGGTACACCATGCAATCCTCAGCTACACAACTATGAGGCCAGAAGAACTACATGGTGCCCAGCTACCAACATCAACCACTCAGAGGGAGATCTATGTAGGATATTCTGGATAGAGTGTGCGAACAATGTGGAACAAAACTCAAAATCATTTGGGGGAAAGAAAAAAGGGAGGACCAGGTTTGTGGTCTGATAGAGCCCGATGGAACCACTGAGACTATGGCTCCCAGCTGCCCTACAAGTCTGGAACTGAACCCACTCCTGTAGCTTCCAGCCAAACAAAAGACAGGCATACGAGCTACACTCCTTCAAGAGAACAGTCATGAGAGAATAGAAGAGCTGTGAACATACAAGAAGACAGCTCAGAGGGCAGCAGTACACGGAGGGAAGGACACAGGGAAGAGGTAACTATGGGGAGGAAGTAGAAGGAGAGCTGTTGCATTGTGGGAAACTGTAGTCAATGTCATTAGACAAAGTTTATGTGAGCTGCTGTATGGAAAGTGAATTTGCTCTGTAAACTTTCACCCAAATCACACACATACACACACACACATACACAAAAGCTTGCAAGTGGCTTTCTGAGATACATCAATTGGTCTCTCTCCTTATCCAGAGCAAAGAAGAATGAAGAAAGTCAAAAATACATGGAAATAATTATCCCTGGGACTAGTAGACCATGGGAACCTTGGACTACATGACTGAAAGACAAGAACTAGATGGTGCTTGGCCACCAAGGCCAACTACTCAGAAAAGGATCAAAACAGCAGATTCTAGACAGAGTGGCAGAAATATCATTAAAAAAAAAAAAAAAAAAGCGCAGGCTACCTGGTTAGTAGAAACTGGTTAAAGCCCCAAAACTATGGCCCCTACTCACTCTTTGGGCCTAGAATTGAACTCACTTCTGTAGCGTATAAATAGAGCAGGCATATAAGTAGAACACTTACACCAGATAGGTGCACTCTCTGGAATGATTAACCATGGGAGATGAGAAGGGCAATATTTGCACAGGGAGATAGCTCAGAGGGCAGGGATGCATAGGAAAGAAGGACACAGGGAAAAAAGTAGCCACAGGGAGCAGCAAAAGAGCTGTGGCATTCTGAGACTTGCAATCAATGTCATGAAATATAATGTGTTGTTGTTGTTGCTGTTGTTAAGTGCCACCGAGTTGTTTCCGACTCATAGCAACCCCATGCACAGCACAACAAAACA